GGGGGTGGCAACAGAATGCCTTTTCCGATCTTTCCTCTGGTTTTCATGTTATAGACTAGCATCTTTTTAAAAGTTAGTTAGAATAATGGTCTCCGGTGATAGTATGTCCATTTTCAAGATAGTCTGTCTTTATTACTCCTTCCTGATAGCATCACTTTTCCACTTGATGGCCGCACCTTTTCCTCCTTTGGTGTTGGAGACAAGGGCGATTTCCACTGCATGCATTGATGCAGATTTTGACTCAGGATCGTTGTAGTGGATTTATGTCACATCCATGCTTGCATGTCTTTCAATAAATTTAGTTTAATCCTTTTCATGCAAACTAAGCAATGCAGTTGCGAGCGCCGTAAAACTCCTACCCAAAAAAAGCAAAAAACAAAACAAAAAACAAAACAAGAAAAGACCAAGCAACTTTTGACAACACTCGTTGCATTTTTTTTAGATGGCGTCGACAAACATGAAACCCATCTCGCAGAATCCTTTGTCCTATTCAAATGTTCATTTAAAATTCGTTCAACTGATCCATTGCTAAGCCCAGTTTCTTTGCTCAAATGTTTGAATGTCACCTGCCAATCAGACAACAGAAGTTTCTTGATTTTCAACACATTCTCTACTGTTATTGCTGTCACTGGGCGACCATCCCGGTGGTCATCTTCCATATCCATGAATCTGCATTTGAATTTTTTACACCAACATTTCATCACAGCGTAGGATGGGCAATCAGTTCCATAAAAGGTATGCATCTACGTAAAAATATCCTGTTTTGCCTGCCTTGCAAGAACAAAAAAACATCAGTACTGCCCGGTGCTCAATTTTCTCAATTTTTATGAGGAAACCTGAGAGCCACATACCCCCATTCACGTACAGTGCGCTGGTGTTAAAACCAGTGATAAAAAATTCCCAAAACCTTACACGCATTCTAGGTAGATGCTTGATGGCTTTCACCCTACATTTCAGCTGCTTTCTACCTTTATTCCTTCATGGTCAGGTATAACACTTTAAATTAGTTGTGCAGGCTACACCTTGATGAGGCAAAGACCTAAGCTAAATTGCGAATCAGGTGACATAGATTAGTTCCAATGCAGATCTCTAGTTCGATTAAAATGCTCAACCTAATTGTTTTTGTAAACAGCTGACCTGGCAATCTACCTCTAAAGATATATTACCTGAATGTTAGAAATTCAAGACGCTGAAAATAATATTACTGATATCCCGTAGCAATGGGATTAGATTCTCACTATCTGGAAATCACTTGCTCATCGTCAGGGCTATGTTTTCCACACCGTTTTCTTTTATGAAAACACGGTATTAAATTTGATCAGCGAGGATGAAACAAAATACCTTTTCAAACGAAATCAAATATATGGCCCTGTTTGCAGGGCGCTGATTTAATTAAACTGGATCTAGTTTATTTACTTTCACGTTTTTAGGATGATTGCAATATCCAATGAACTGAGAACAGTCTTCTTTGTAATCCAAGAGAAATGTCAGACTCCAGACCGTCTTAATTAAAATAACATCAAATAGAAATTAAGCATATTTACTTGAAGCTCATTTAATGTCTCAGCTTTGTTTAAAAAATCTTTCTCAAGTTCTAAAGTCACTTTCAGTGGCTTACTTGAGCAGTTTCTACTTGAAAATGTAAGATTTGAAAAAACAAAACAAAATATTGCACTGTACTTTTCACTTCAAAACGTCATCTTGAGGCGTTTTCTGAATTGCTGTAATTGCCAAGTACTGCAAGTACGTCTTACATTTAACAAGGCTCTCTTTGCCCACTCAGGGTGCGTACAAGCAGGTTAAGGGCGAGGTGACCAGAGGAGGCGGGAGGGGGGAAGGGTAATTAACAACAATATCAGCATATCAGATTGCGCAAAGGCAACCAAATCAAGCCAGTTAAAGTCACTGATAGTCAAGAGATGGAGGTATGTACTGACGTTCCTATACAGATGTAATCATAGTAATATATTATCATTACTTCAGTTAAACAGTGTGTGCAGTTTCACTGAGCCGACAAGGTATTTTTCTATTTCTGTTTTAATCTAAAGTTAGGCACATTTGTTTTCATTTGCCTTTTCACGTTAAATAGTTGTCCCTGTTGGAAAAATGTGGCATGCATATAATGTCAGTTATAATAGTTTACGATTCATAGTTCTCATTAAGTGTCACAAAAAAGACGTGAGTTGGTTTGCGAGCGTGGGGAAGATCAAATGCCTGCTATGACTTTCTATAGCTGAAGCTGTAGGGGATGGTTTCAAATTTGTAGTTAATCCCCCCCCCCAAAAAAAAAGGAAGAATAAAATAGATACAAGCCCACCGAATGCCTAGCAACGTTTAAGTCTGAACGAAAAATAAAATACACACACAAAAACATCGAAGCCCAAAGAACAACAAGCAACTCTATGGACAGTTTTCTCATGCTTACTTTTCAATTCAAGCTCTTTCCATGACAAATAAATCCAACCACACGTCGACAGTCCTATTTTCGTTGATATTGCAGATAAGCACGTACATTCTGTATTCATTACTATTTGTTTTGTGGGGATCGGTGGATTGCACATTGGGGAGAGGTAGAGGGTGAACCGGCAATGGTGGATGAGACACATTTCTATTCGACTGGTTAATGCCCTGCTGGTATTAAATTTCCATCACTGAAGCAGTGTGCTGAAAGCTGACATTACAAAATTAGTTGGCAATCATAACATTAGTACTGTATTCACTGGTAAAATGGAGCGATTACTATGTTAATTTAACAAAGTGTAAATCATGTGATTATGTTGTATTATCTTTTTGTAAATCCACAGCCTCGATCTGACAGCGCAGGTGTTGGGAGGAAGCCCATTCTTCCCATGATGAAAATGCGCAAGGAACGGACTGAGATCGTATTTCACAAGGACCGAACGTTCATCACCAAACTCCCTGCCTTCGTCGAGGTCGACCAGAATATCCAAACTGTCTTCGACGCGTATCGTGGCAAATCGTATCTCTCCAGAGACCTGCCGAGCCGAGACGAGCGTTTCACCAGACTGCAGAGAATGCTGCAACCGTCAGCGGGATCTACGAGTGAGGAATTCCCTCTGGAGAACGTCATTTCCAAGAGCAAGTCAAAGAAGCACCACCATTTGACCGACTCCCCGGTGACGTCAGAGCCCTGTAACTTCAACAGTTACGCCGAAGCCAGGGTGATGATTGCTTCCCGCGGTCAGAGCAGGGACAACGCGAGGTCAGCCCCGAACGTGGAATTTATGACCGAAAAGAAATCTGCCTCAGGTACGAGACCAGCGGAGATCTTGCATTCTTTTAAGACTCAGGACATTAAAGAGTTGTCTAAATCTCTGACAAGAGAGTCGCACATAGACCCATCCGCTATCAATCCAGGCTTGCACAGGAGAGACTCTAATATAAGTTTCGCAACAAAGAAACCAAGCGTCCACGTCCCCTCCCTTGGACTTAATTATGAAATGAAGAATGGATGATGTCAACTTGACGCTTAGACTTCACACTGTACAGATAACCTGAATGCATTTAACACATACTTGATGTCTTTTGGGATTTTGTTTTGTTTCGCCTTGTTCTATCATTATGTTATAAATTTTAAAAATCATTTTACTGAAAAATATATTAAGTTTCCTTTCTCTACCGATTTGGGTTGACGAGGTCTTAAAATTTGTTTCAACCAAATAATGACCAATATGGGTATGAGGGTGCTGAAAAAATAACCAACCGTTCTATGCTTAAGACTTCTCTCCTGTACCATTAAGACCCCGTGGAATGTTAGTGAGTTTTGGACAGCGTTCTAGAAATGTTTTTCTCCTGAAATTTTGGTAATATGGAAGGTATGTCTAAATACTGGAGAGGTGCTGAATGTCTTTATTTTAAAGAAATGGTGTATAACATTTATAGTCTTTTTTTTTTCAAAAGAAGGTTGCCACAGTTAATCTACACAAGATTATTTCTTTGTTCTGGCTTTCTATATTACTACTTTATTTGCTTTCAAATTATTCTAGTTTATTCACTGGCAGTCAATTTCAGTATGTTTTAATTTGTTTATTTATCTCTTCCATGTCATGAAAACGATGGCGAGGCCCTGGGAGTTGTGGTTTGGGGGGGGGGGGATTCTTCTGTTCTGTAAATTAGGATAGTTATAATGTTTTCTCGTTCATTTACAATGTTCATTTTCTACCTATGCTAATTTTTTTTCTTTAATTATAGAGGGATTATAATTCCAAATGTCGCTTTTAACCTGCTTTTCATATAGTTGTTATCAATATTCGTTCAGATCTACCTTCAGGGTTTCGGGGATTCCGAAGGCAATCAGGAAGAGGGAGGAGAGGGAGGGGGTATTTGGTATGTCATTAATGGTTTGTCCAACAGTGAGTAGAGTCTCCAGTGACGGCAGTTCAAAATATACAACACTAATTTTGTTTTTACAAAGGTTCTATTGAATGAATGTGTCTAACTGCACCATCTCTGCCCTATCCTATATTATCGTGTTTCTATTTGTGTATCCCTGACAGAAAAATACAACATTGTTCTTTCCTTAACGCTAGTTTAATTGAGCAGTACGCTCAGTCGAAATGCATCGTTGATTTCCAATATAGCGTTTCGTTGACAGGAGTCTCGGCTCACACAAAAAGGAAGACCTGGTTTAGGGGGAGTCTCGGTTACAGGTAACTGCGGCCATGTTGTAATATAACATGCTTTTGTCACGAGCACACACAGCCACATAATGCAGGTGAATAGGGAGACTAACTTTCATTAACAACAGAGGGAGAGATATCAGGTTGGACATAACTCGGTCCTCCAACCGCCACCATTTCATTTGAGACAGGAGTTTCTGGAATAAGTTAATGAAAAAGGCAGATGATCATTATTGTCAAGATTGTGTTGAAATTATTCCTCTGATGTAATAACTTGTATTACATGTTTGCATAAAAGAAAAAGAAAAAAATATTACAGCTTTTTGACAGAAGGTCCCGCTAAACATAATCATGATATCATCAGAATCATCACTATCACCATCACTATCATCATCATCATCATCATCATCATCATCATCATCATCATCATCATCATCATCGTCATCATCGTCATCATCGTCATCATCGTCATCATCATCATTTAAATTTGTTTCCAAACAATTACTCTTCGAGCCGAAAGTATTGTTTAATATCTTATTCTAATAGTAATTGTATTGGTATTCTCGTTTCGACTCTCCTGTAATTGTTGCTTCTACATTATGGTTGTCTTATTACCGATTACAGGGGGAAAAACAACAGAAAACCCAGAAAATGAAGTGTTGTTAAATATCAATGTCTAAGTATTCTTGTCTTCATTGAGCAATCTTAAGAGATGATGTATCGTCTTGTAGTACTGTGCCATTATATGCGTCTGTTGTTTCGTTGTTTTGTTTTGAAACATAAATTCAACTTTTTTCTAAAATGATTAATAGGTTGTAGGTTGACCACTTGACTGACAGTAAAAGAAAAGAAGAAAAGCTAAATAGAGAATTAAGACACTGATGGTAAACAATAACATCTGACATATTGAGGAGAGATGTGCTGAGAGCACCGAATAATACGAGTACTAATTTTCATGCCATTCATATTTTCTGTTGATAATCATAACTAAAATTGTGAAAGTAATTTAAAAAAACACCCAGCTGTGAGGCTTGTCTTGACATGCATGCTAAGAAAACGAAAACAATGGCTATATCAAAGTAGAGTGGCCAAACAATAGATACGTACAATGATATAAGGAGGGAGAATCGAACAAGTACATTAATTCACAACTCTAAGGGCAGCAATCACAGGCGATTTCAGAAGAGGAAAAAAAGTAAAAACAAAAGACCAGCTTTTGCAAAATACAGGATTCAGCCAAATACACGAACTATTTACATCCAGGTAATTAGGTCTGCGGAAGAAATTGGCCTAGTGCTACATCTTCCACAGTTTCATATTTACTGCTGAAAGGTGGACGTTAACAAAGAAAGACAAAAAATTGCATTTGAGACGTGCTGCTGCTCCAGACTGGCCAGAATTAGCTGGAAAGCAAAAGAAAAAAATAGACAAAAAAATAGATGTGTCAGATTCTTCATGTAAGACAAACCCTGCTTAACAAATGACTGTAGAAAAATAAAATACTTTGGTCATACACAATGCCTAAGGACCATTATGAATGAAATACTCGAAGGCAAGATGTGAGACAAAATAAATGGCTACAGGTGGACAACGAACAATGTGGACCCGATAGAGTCATATAGCATGAACTGGCCTACATATGACAGGGTACTTGACAACAGCTAGCGATCGTAAACAATGGATATGTTTGCCTCTAAGTTGGAGATGACATTTTCATGTATCCAGGTATATTAACTGAAGTTCTCTTAGCCTCTTAGAGGATACATTGCTCTCCTTTGTTCCCAGCAGTTCCTGTTTTAAACGCGCTAACTATTATATATGAGGCATCGTGATGAAATCAGGCGCTCGTCAAAATAATGAAGTTGAAGAAACAGGCATTTGTCTGTCCAATAATTTGGCAATTTTTTGACAAAATTTTGTTTTGGCTCGATACCTTTTAGGTTCATATAAAATAGCACACATAATGAATTTTACTGAACAGTGTTGATTAAAAGCACAACATATGTAACTTTTCAGTTTTCAAAGATTCTCAAGCTATAGAATTCACCTAAATGTGGCGGCCTTTTTCTTGTTAATTTTATCTCTGAAACCAGGTGACCTCCACCTCTTCCAATCGCAAATATCTCGACTTCTTTTCAAGATAACCTGATGTTTTTTTAACGAAAGCGAGGCAAATGAATAAGCTTTCAGATGATACTAATAGCTTCACATGCCCAAAATTTGAAGAGCGTCTCATTCTACCGTGATACAGGGGCGAAGGCTGATTTGTTTGACAGGGTAATCAAAGTGAAACGGGACCAGATATGGCCTGGAGATATCACACAAGAATCTTACTCGAGGTGGCGACTCTGAGTTGTGAATGAAAACAAATCCGGAATTCATATTGTATGATCAACCGCCACAATAATCGGGAAAGTATCTTATTAAATATCAATTCCAACTAAAATTAAATTAAACTTTAAATGTGAATACACAAATACAAAGCAAAGAAGCAGAGATGTCAGTATTAGATCTATATGTTTTAGATCTACCAGTGAGGCTAACTCTTTGATAGAACATGACAATTATAATATTTTTAAAATTTCATATTTGGCTGTTTTTGTCTAGCCTTTCGCGGCCAGGAGGCGTTGTCATAATCTAGGTCACGATCTGATTATAGGACGGTAAAATGTCGAGGAAAAAAACAAGCACTTGCAGCAGTCAAGAGATTATTAGAAGTTAGTTCCTCTCACATTTGTGAGGTAGTCTCGACTTACATAGTTAGCTTACATAATCAGAGTTTGCGACTACTTATAACTGTGGCCCCAAAGGGGTGAACAGGGTTTTTGTCGCAATGAAACAGTTTTGACAGCTATGCACATGTTCCCTTCAACTCTATTGGTAGACTCTTCCAGTCTCACTTTAAGCTTACTTAATCAAAGCTTGTGACTGCTTATGGAGTGGCCCGAGAGGGGTGAGCAGGCTATTTCTGTGGCAGTGAAACCTTTTTGAATGTTAGGCATGGTGATTATGAACGTCTTTTTACATTTAATTTATGAGGTTTCAGTTTATGGGTGAATTTGACAGCGACAATGTTCCAAAATTAAGAAGAGAAGCAGTGATTATTTGATTATATAGACGCTTCGCCACTGGATGTAACACATTTTAAAATATTTATTTATGATTAGGTTGTATTCATCCAAGTCAACATACTTGCCACTGGTATCAGACTAACGAGGGCGCTCATTGTCTGATTAGCAAAGCTAATTTGCTACGACAGTAAATAGTTTTCTCTGCCATAATCCAATCTATCAGGTCAAGGCTGAGATTGATGCACAAATATTAAGAAAGAGATTTACTGTTGCTTTCGACGTAAACAGGGGGGATCAGAATATGTACTAAAAAATTCATTCAGCCAATTGAGGTTAATTGTATGATTGTGAACATTCACAAACCGTTGGATTCATACGTCAATGATTATACTGTTCGTGACTATTATTTTAAAAAATTTAGTAGAGGTTTTACGGCACTCGCAACTGCGTATGGCGATATGAGCGCCTCTGGGTGGATGTCAACAGAGAAGTCTTTACAAGGAATCAGGCTTGCTCTGCTCACCACTCTTGCTTCAACAGCACAAATCTGTTTCGACTTTCAAGGCACCCTGGAAACAGCAGGTCACAAGAGCTTGACAAACATACAAAAGAAGTAGAGGAAAATGACAATAGTAAGGATTAGGAAAGAAAAAGCAACAGTTCCCTGTTGTAGATCAGGCACAGTTATGAGCGTGACATTGGTGAATCAGCCCATTTACAACTCTACTGTGCATGAACGAGAAATGTAATCCCTTTGGGAATGGCCTAAAGACACTTTAGTCAGTGGCGCCGTCCCCGGGGGGGGGGGGGTCGTGACTACACAGCGGTCGAAAATTTGTGACACAACTTATCCTCTAATATTTGATACAAAGCGCTGTCCGTATTATGATTAAGGCATTTGTAAAAATGTTATTGCTTTTGAAAATACATACCCTATAACCTTAGCACACAAAACACACACGTGCACACAC